GTCAAGGTATATACCAGAAGAGTCGATTGAGCGGCTAATGCTATTGCCAGCAGATCCGGCTCCGCCCGGAAAGCCATCTTGTCAGCCGGCAATGAGACGGACAGAGCCATGCTCAACGCGACGGTTGGGTCTTTAATAGCCGATGCGTCAGAGAAGATCGGCATGTTTTTTATCTTTGGTTGAATGACAAAAGGCACAATCACATCCAACTCCTCTAAACACGATCGTTTGTCAGCACGGTTTTTTTCTGAGCCGACCTCGACCTTGGCAGGACACTTTTCCACCCTTCCATTGGCCTCTTGATTGGCTTGCATAACCGCCTCGAACTCGGTAATTCGGGTTTGAGCCATTTCCTCCTCGATAACAGGCAGGAAGGTCTAAGCTTTGGCGGTAGGTGGCACTTCAAATCGAATGGCCTCTGCTCTTCGTCGCATAGCCATTCTTTGTGCGTTTTTATTTTTTGGCGAGTTGTGTGAGGTTTAACCCAGCCATTTCTTTGGGGTATGCACCGGGAAGGTCTTCTAAATCGGTAAAAATGTCGTCAAACAGAAGGTCCCCTCGACCCGAAGTGGACGGAGGGTTGGCTGAATTGAGGCCGGCTTCCTCGAAGGCCAACCTCAAAGCCTCGTCTATTTCAACTACGGACTGGTCTGACTCAGTGACCTCAACTACTTCCGCCCGCTCCGCATCGGACCCCTCGAACCAACTTGTCGCAAGTTTTTGAAGTTGGTCAAAATAAGAGCCGTAAGAAACTCGTCACCCCTCGAAATTGGGACGTTTTCTACCGCCGAAAACGTCATATATGTCGGCTCGTACCGAAAGAGAATGTGGGCCGCCCTCCCTTGCTTCTGAAGACTCGGACGGCCGAAATATTTGAGCGCGACTTTAATTTCTAAAAGAACGGCGTTGTCGGTTGAAGTCAAGACTTTCTTCAAATCGTTTCCTACATAAGCAAAACCATGAGATCTCAAAAATGAAGCTTTATAAATATAAGAAAAATAAACGCAAAAAGCTATACGGCCACCTGGTTCGCCCCTCCGTCTAGGAATAGGATCAAGGCATTCCTCGCCTTCACCAAATTCCCAATTACCTCAGACAACGACCATAACATCATCGACTCACTTCCCAGAGCTGGAAAGCATAGTCACTAGTTGATGGTCAGTGTCCTTAGCCCTAAGGAAATAGCGTCCATGCCGACCAGAAGACTTGGCCAATGCGTAACAATATCGAATAACAGGTATGCCGAGGTTAATCCTAAGGCGACGGTTTAGCTCTATAATCCCCATTACGATTCTAAAAAAGTTGACATTGGGTTGGGAGGGGATAAGACCCCAATGGCGAAGGACAACCCTAAGAAATGGATGAAGCGGGAAACAGATTCCGCCCTCTGCAATTGATAAGAGAGGGAAGACGATTGTGCTTTCATCATCCCTCTCCATATCGAGGGTGCCGTCTGTCACAAGCGACAGACGGACGTCATCAGGGATAGAAAAATGGCGTCGAAAGCCAGAGATTCGATCCGTGGAGAGGAAGTTTTTTCGATGTTTTTCCATTTCGATCAGCCTATAGGAGTGTACTAAACTAAAGGCAAACCAGGAAAAGGGATTCAAAGCAGAGAGGAAGAGAACTTACAAGAGACGAAGAGGGCAATGAAGGATGAATGGAAGTTGCAGAGGTGAGTCGAAAGGCAGTCCAAAAAACTCTTAAGCATCCAAAAATGAGTGTTCGAAAAGATGACAAGATTTTAAATCACAATAAATGGAAGCATACGAAGGGGCGGGAAGTTGAAATGATAACCGAGAGGCGTGTGCTTTAACATCCGCGTTGGAATGAGGTTAGCTGCCGAATTTCGGCTCTGACTTTTCGAGTTCGAAACCAAACACTCCAACTAACTGTCGTTAGTGGAGTGCTTGGGGGGCAATTGTGGGGGCCGAATATTGGGAGTCGTAAAGAGGCTGAATAATTGGACCCAGAGAGTCAAAATATATACATCGCATTCGGCCCTATCTTGCAAATTTAAATCCTGCCCTATTCGGCCAAACAGCTGGTTGAGTAAGGGGCCAAGTAAAGAGCGGTACGGTTTACAACAAAAGGAGCTGAGTAAATAGTTATACGGCAAATTGAGAGTGGGCCCAGCCCCGAGGCCCAAGAAAGAAAAGATATAAATAGAAGAACATCAGCCAGAAAGAGGTATGTGAGAATTAGTATGCTTAACTTAAAATACAAGTAATCAAGAGAGTAGATACTGATTTGACCGTCGGAGTGCTAATTCTGGCACCCCCGACCGGAGTGTTTATTCCTTTTCAGGTTGTTAGCTGAGGATCTCGAGTGCCACAGTGGATCAAAAGAGTATTTCCAAACCACCTTTCCCACAAGTTTGAATCGGCTTGGATCGGTTTACAGTTTGACTAGTTTTTTTGAACAATCCTAAAAGGGGCTCTAGAAGGGATAGATTGCATATATATAACATTTGACATAATTTACACAAAACACATTCTTTCAAGTTTGAATCCACGATCTCAAGACAAACTGTCCCACTACTAAAATGGTAAGATTAAGATACTCTTTATTTTGTTTTACAGTCATGTTTAAGATCATTTAGATACTTTCTTGTACATTTGGAGTAACTAGCAATAGCTGACACAATTCGTCTTTGAGTAGCAAATTTTCTCCAAAAATGCTATGAATCATGAAAATGCACCTTGAAATTTATCTCGAAAAGTAAGTGTACTCAAAGTTAGTGGCCACACCTACAATAAATGCAGTCCATTAATTTACTTTTTGGGGTAATTTTCTAGGTAAATTTTGTGAGTTTATAGTGTATTGCTGAATTTTCTGCTTCTATAGCTTACAAGTGGTTAATTCCTTTTAATGTTTGTGTGGCTACCAAATCACAGAGTCAATTGTAAGGCTTAGTTGTTGCTTCAATTCTTCAAGTTTTACTATCTTCCAACTTTGGAAATGGCAAGTTGCTTCATTCTGGATATCTTTAAAATTGTGTGTGATATATGTCATTGTTTTAATTATTATTTATACCCTCTCTTTCTGTCTACTATGGTTGTTTTTATTTATTTATTTATTTTCGGATGATAAATTATATTTTACACCCTCCAATTTTTATTCAAATCTTAATTTAATTCTCATCTTTTAATTACAATAATTAAATCTTCCAACTTTAACTCTAGTTTCAATATACTCCTACCTTCACTCAACATAAAAAAGTGGTTAGGAAATTCTCACGCACATCTGAGAATTTTTTAAGAACATTAAAGGAACAAAATTATGAAGGATAATTCTATTTACACATCATCGATCCTCCCAGTATACACCATTATTTAGTACACATATATAATAAATTTTAGATTGTAAAAATATCTCAGTTCACATCATAATTTTTCCTTTTTAACACTAAGCTAATAAACTTGTGCACAACACAACCAAAATGTCCAATTTTTTTATATATGAATGTTTAATATTTGATCAATTTTAATAATTTGAACAAAATAATTTTGTTCAAATATAAATAATTGGAAATTTTATAAATGTTCAACTCTGATTGTTCGAATATGTGACAAGCGAACAAGCCATCTTCTATACGAACAATATAAACAAAAAAATAAACTGACATTTTTATTGTTGTATTGTTCCAAATCAACAATATGAGTGTCATTCATGGTGTACAAACCTTCAAAATCAATTGATTTCAATGTTCTTAAAAGCCTAAATCTTCACAGGCATTAATGTTTTGAGTTTGGAAAATAACGGTAAAGATTATAATGGCAAAATTTATAACTGTAGTGTATTAGATTATAATGGTGAAGATGAACAGTATTAGATGACAGATTTGTTCCAAAAGATAGGTGATGATGTGTAAAGAGATTTGTTTTTTCACATGTGAAGTACTTGAACGAGTGCATATACACCACATATTGTCCGGAATAATAAATTTACTTGAAGATATTATTGTCATATACATCTAATGGTTAAATAGTGTGTACTAAGACGATTCATAGTGATTATGAAATAAAATTACACTTTTTGCCTTCAATTTTTACTTAAATTCCACTTTAATCCTTCATAATTCATCTTTCACTAAAAAATAAATAAATAAAAACATTTATAAGGAACTATAAATAAAATAACCTGGATAAAGTCAATGATGTCCCTAATTTAAAATAGGACAAAATCCACTTTACTCTCTTATGTATGGCCTAGAGCCCTCTATCTTTTTTAAATGGCACTACAAGAATTTACACATTTGCCGACCACTTTTGCCGACCAAAAAAATTTTGGTCGCAAAAAAATAACGTTTGCCGACCAAAATATTAATTAGTCGCGAATGATCATTATTTTTGGCGACCAAAATGAGTTGGTCGCAGAAGGTCGTATTTTGGCGACCAAAAATGAGTTGGTCGCAGAAAGTGATATGCTTTTGGCGACCAACTATAAATTTGGTCGCGGAAGGTCACATTTTGGCGACCAAAAAAAATTAGTCGCCAAATTAGTACTTTTAGCGACTACTATTTTAGTCGTTGTTGATTGAGATTTGGCGACTAAAAACGTTTGTCGGCGAAACATCCTTTTTCTGCGGCTAATTTAGTCTTTTGGTCACAAAAAATTTGGTGGGGTTATTTGAAACGTGGGGCGGGAATTTGAAATTCGCCATTCCCCTCTGTCTTTCTCTCACACAGATCCTTAGACCACACTCGACCTACGACCACATTGATCTCTCGTTGATCCTCATATCCTCAGACCACACTCCCCATAAGGAGACTCTGAAATGTGTCCGTATACGCAAAGTAAGATCATTTTACAGGTGATCTAATAACCATCCATATAAAATATCTCCCGCTCTTACTCTCTCTCTGTCTGAAAATTTTTTGAGTGCAGCAGTCCATCTCTTCTCCACTTGCCCTTCATCAATCGGCAATCTCTAACAAATTCACAGTGCCTCTTCTTCTCAACTCTCACGATCTCTGAACTTTATCACCAACAGTCAACTCTCCCTCTCTCTCAGTTGCATTCTCATGCTTTTGTTGTCATGTTCTTGTTCTCATGATCAATCGATTGATCTTTCACTCTCACCCTCACTCTATCTCAAACAATCAGATGAGGATAGAGATATGGGAATCCACTCTCCCGTCCTGATCTTCTTCACTCACATCCCAGACAATCTTGATGCGTCGAACTCGCTTAAAAGATTAGCATCTCGGTCTTCTTGGACGATTAGAAGGTGATTTCAAACCATTTTTTTACTGAATATGTACACTTTTTAAAAGCCCCAACTTAAATTGATTGTGTATGTACATTTTTTTAAAAGCAAAACTTTAATAACAAAGGATTTGTGTTTTTTGTTTTTTTTTCTTGCCTTCAAACTGTTTGATAAAATGTCTGTTAGGCTTCTCAAAATTCTAAGCCACAAGCCTAACCCATTATATAGAAACAATGACAGTGGAATTGTTCTCTGTGCTGTCTATATTTGTTCTCTTATGGTGCTTTACAGTGGGACATTATATCTTAACTTTCAACCTAATAAATCAACTTTAACTTTCAACCTAATAAATCAACTTTACAGTGGGACATTCTCTTGTGTTATTAATTGTATGATTAAAAAATTGTCAACTTTATTGAATGAAATTTTCATCGGAATCTAATTCAAACAATAGAAATTGAAATCAAATACTAAAATGTGAGTCCTATAATTTAATAATTTTATTTCTATATTATAATTTGCTCATTTAAATATGCTCTTAATGTATCAAATATGAGTCGCGCTCAAATTACTTGTTGTGTCCAACTCATTTGTGATGTCTCTGAGATAGTAGATTAAAACATGGGTGTGTCCAACTCATTTGTGATGTCTCCGAGATAGCAGATTAAAACATAGGTGTTGAAAGGTAGAGGATTCTAAAGATGAAGACAAAAATATACTACACTTTTCGACTAGAATGGACCCCAAAATGCACCTGATTTTCGACTAGTGATGTCTCCGAAAAGAATTTACACATTATTCAATTCAAAATGTTGTAGGTGGCATTTTTGTTGGGTATTAACATCATTAGAAGTGTTATGTTAATTCCATTGTAAAACTTAAACTATATATCATGAAAATGTTATTCAATATGTTGTATGTGTTTTCATTTTCAATCTGCAACTGTTTTAACTTATTACCTATATGCTAAATTTGTGCAATCTGCAGTGCTTGCTAGTGAAAGGATGGAAGGGAACAAGCTGGAGTTTTCCCCGTGGGAAAAAGAACAAAGATGAGGAAGACCATGCATGTGCTGTTAGAGAAGTAAATATTCTTGTTTCTTATGGAATTCTTAGTTGTTCTCATATTTATAGTAATTAACAATTTGTATTGAACACCAAGGAGAACTTTTTTTCCTTTCTCTTGACATTCTTTATTCTTTAGCTTTAGGCCAGAAACAGAAAGAGTTCAACTTAATTAATTAATCGATGTAGAAACTTATTCCATTAATATAAAATTGAACAAAATGTCAGAGAGGGCATAATTTTCTTTTTAATTATTATTTATATATGAAATGTGCTGTTGTTGATGCCGGTTTTGAAATCCTCCATGTTTCCTAAACGCCTGTGGAATAGATGAAAGGGTAATATGCTTGATTTGCTGATTCATCATTTCTACAATGCATCAAGCTTACCTAATAGGTTGTCCATGGGATGCATACTATTAATCAAACAAAATAGCTGTCAGTATACCCTTGAAACTAGAGCACCGGTGCCAAACAAAATATTTGGTGAGTTTGCATTTCATGTAAGTTGGTTACAAAATTACAATAATGTTCCTTATCGAGGCTTGCAATGACCTAGTCAATGCCTTGTAGGCTTCTCTTTGATCAAGTAGTTGGGGGTGGAATTGGATTTGGGGCCTTTTAGTAACCATTGCTTGTGGTTTTGATTTGGAATTCCATCATAAATCTGAGAATTGTATTCTAGATATAATGACGATACATAAATCCCAGTGAATAGATTTAACTCACCGATTCTTCGATTGATAATTGGACTGTTGTGTAGTAACGGAAAAAAAGAAAAGAAAAAGAAAGGTGTCATTGCCACTAGAAGGATTGTAACTATAGGCACTGCCACCAACACTCATGCTGCCATGGGTGTTACAATTTTTACAATTTACTTACCACCACCCTCACTCCCATTAATGTTGCCATCACCACTGCCAACATTCCAACCATGACCAGCATCATGCATTTCTTGACATCCCTAGTACTGCCATTGCCCGCTCAACCACTACCTCCAGCAGCACCATCACCATTTTTCCATCACTATTACCCCAAATAACTGCTTCAATATGCCACACTAACTGTCTTCTGCCACCAACATTGTTTTCCTTCACCTCTAGTTCAATGCTATCTCATTTTTTACATCTCATTTGGAACACTACCATTCACCTTTCATCATTTGAATTTTCAATTTCTGTTTTAAATTAAATCTTAAAATCCATTTTCAAACTGAAATGAGTACTTAACTGCACTTAAGAACCAAAGCCCAACCATAATTTCCTAATGAAAAAAAACCTACTAAAAAAAATGGATTTACAAATTTAGATTCTGATGCTGCATTCTAACTTCTCTCTTTTGACGTAGGTCCTTGAGGGAACAGGTTTTGATGTTTCAAAATTCCTAAACAAAGATGACGATATTGAGATGATATTTGGACAGCAGAGGGTGCGGCTCTACATAATTGCTGGTGTGAAAGACGATACCGCCTTTGCCCCACTTATCAAAAAAGAGATCAGTGTATGTTGCCTCTCCTCATCTAAAACTGTCCAGATTGTGAAAAAGATCACTTAATCTGGAAAATTCAACTTCATAGTTAAGAAGGTTGCATTGTTCTGCTTTTCAATTTCTATTGAAGAAGAAAAAGCAGTTTCAACTCGAGAATTTTCATAGCAAACAATAGATGCACTTTTAAAGCTTGTGGATTTTTATATTTCAACATTTTAAAACTGGAGGTTGAGTTTTGTCCAACTGGGAGGGGAAGGTGCCGCCTATATGAACTCAAGGAAGTGTTACATCAAAGAGGGAACCGACTACAAAGTTTGGCATGCTCTTAGAGTTAAGGGTTCATAGAAATCTTTATAAACCATACAAAGGTTCTAATATAATGGAGAGCATGTTTAAGAGGTTTCATTGAAACTTTCGAAGCTTTCTTGGAACTGTGTAATGCAATTCTAACTCCATGTATGATGCTGATCAAAAAATTCTCTCTATGTATGATGCCTGTACTTGTCTTTTTTTTCCCCTTGTCAACCTTCTGCAATTTTAAAGCCTTTAAAGCTCATAGCCAGGTCTGAGAAGCCCTTATTGCACTCTTAAATCGTATTTACATATGCCAACTCTTCACTCATTGATCAAGTGTAATGCAGAAATAACATCAAGCCAACTCTATTCTTGGTTACTGATCACATCACCCAAACTGCCCCACTACTTTCTTTATGCCTAAAATACTAGCCCTTAAACCTCATAGCCAGTTCTGATTAGCCCTTATTGTACTCTTAAAATCGTGCGTAAATGCTCCAATTCTTCATGCAATTTTTTGATGAGCACTCCAACTCTTCGCTCATTGATCAAGTGTAATACGCAAAAAACACCAAACCAACTCTTTTCTTGTTATTGTTCCCATCACCTTAACTGCCCCACTACTTTCTTTCCACCTAACTACTAGCAGATCCCTGCCCCTTCTATTGCCCCATTTGGCTGCTAAAACCAACTAGAAACAGCCTAAATAAGGCTCTTAGCTGCTGACCTACATTGTTTTTGGGGTCACTGTTTGTACTTTGTATTTTGTAGAGTTTTCTTCACAATCATCCTATATCAATCAATTACCTGTAATGTACATTATCACAAATCTGTAGCAATGATTCGGCTGTATGACTATAAATGTTTGGTTATCTTATGTAAATTTACTGACTTTGTCAGTGATTGTAACTTTTGTCAATGTGAAAATTGAGTGAATTTGTCAACGACTCAGGTAAAATAATCAAATATGTTTAACTGAATCATAGAAGATGTTGAACAACATTATTGATGAGGGTTCGAATTCCCTCCTGTTTGCCCGGTTCACTGGCTTAGGGGGTGGCCTCTAAACCTCAAATTTACCTTCTTGGGGTGGTCCAAAGGTCCCTGCCTAGGATGGGTTCTCGATTATCAACAAAAAAAAAAAAAAAAAGGAGGAAGAAATATGTTGAACTTCAAGTTGAGATTCAACTTTAATGACTTTGAAAGTAATAAATTCTTTTCTGTTTATGGATATTAAATCTATGATTTTTGGTTATACTGCTTTACATTATCATTATCAAACTGCTTTACATCTACTTATGTTGTGTTCTCCCTTCTTTGCACAGTTGGTTTGCTTATATTATTCTTAGTTTTTATTTGGGTTTCGGATGCCTAATTTTGAATTTGATATTTTCCTCTTTTCCCAGCTAGAAACGACCAAGTTCTTGTATGGCTGCGCAGTAAATTCCTACATACTTAATGTTAATTGGCTTATTGATTCAGTAGCAGCTGGTTATGCCTTACCGCGTGACAAGTATGTCCTGCATATATTTAACTTCCATTCATATCACTGGTGCTTTTTAGCCTGCTGATTTGTGTTTAACTTTCTTTCATCTTGTTGCTGGAATTCTTTAATTCTACTGTCTTCTATTGACTGCAAAGTAGTCTAAGTTGAAATATTGACTCTGATTGGCCTGTACTCAAGTGTTTGTGATTTCAGAAATCTTTTGAAATTAAAAAATTGTAGGACTGAAATCAAAACAGTAAATGGATAGAGCTAATAAGTGTGCTTTCATTACAAGATGCAAAAAATTCTTAACCAAAGGTAGTGTTGAATATTGACTTCACTTAAACCTTTCAAAGGAAAAAAATTCTTGGCCAGTTTGTATAAGATCCAATGCCTTCTTGCAGATCTTTGAAAGCTTGGATTTTAGCACATAAGCCCCCAGTAGCACCAAAATCTGATTTGCCTCTGAAAGGTTTGTCATTTCCTTTTCTCTTAAATGGAAATGCTGACACTTTCTGTTTCCTAATTATTCTAGGTGTCTCAGTTACTAGTTAATGCTATAAGAGTACACAAAAATTGAAAGCAAAGAAACTGGTAGTTTTTCTGTTTTCTTATTTTTCACTATAGCAACTACTTCAGTTTATCTTGTTGATAGAATTTAGGCTGTGTTTGGCAGTTGAACAATACCCAAGAGGAGTTACGTGGCATGTGGACAATTTTGAATTTAATTTTTTGAGGGAAGAGTTGTGTTTGGGTAGAAATCGTTATCATAATTTGGACTTGAGCTTGGCTGATGCCTTTGTGTTCTAGGTGAAGCATATTCACATGAGCTTTGATTCCAAACTTCGTAGGGAATCAATAAAAAAACTAGAATTATGCTACCTGCAAGTGTTTTAATGGTGGTCTAAGGTTATGATAAGCTTGTAATTTTGAAGCTAGGATGAAAGATGGTAGGGTTATTGATGGAATCATTTTGAAATAACTAAAGCTTTTAAAGTGTGAGGTGTGCTTGAATTGAAAGTTTATAAGGTGGCATGTCGTGTCGGACACCGACACAACACGACACTCATGGGAAACTTCTTGACCTTTGCCAGAAACACCTCCAAACATGTTCTACTATTTTTTAAAATATTTTAGACAACATGCTTTAAGCACTTGGGGAACATGTGCATATCACTTAGACACATGAAATACATTACAAGTTTTGAATAAAATAACTTGGAATTCAATGATAAAAGACTAACAATGCATTAGCAATCTTTAATTTAGTTTAATGCTTAATTTAAAATTTACTACTAAAGCTTTATCTCCATTGGTTTTGATAGGAAAAGAATATTTAGAAAATATATATATAGAGAGAGAGAGGTAACAAAAATAAAAAGAAATGAAGTTAAAAGAAAGGAACGAACAAAAGAGGCAAAGAGTTTATATGTCGGTAAGTATACTTTGTCAAAAAGTACATGGATGCCGGTAAATATATTTTTGTGCAAGCATATATGTCAGTATTTTCCTATCTAGTGACCTAAAAAATGCTTACTTTCCCTTTCATGGTATAAAAAATAGCCCACCCTATGGCCTAAAAAATTCATTTCCTTGGCAAGTGCCTCAAAAAAAAATAGTCCGGGGATAATGCACGTGTTTGGTTTTCCAAGAGACCTAAAAATTCAGCACATAAAAAACAACACTGGATATACACAATTTTAAATTTTACTAACTATTTTAGGCTATTGTTGTGAAAGTCCGAAACTTAGGCAAAGCCTTAGACAACTCAATAAAATATTGCAAGTTATTAAATAAAGCATTTTGTCTGGGCTTGAGATAAAATGTTAAACAAAAGTCTGGATGCCTTTTTGACTGTACTAAATTTGCAATTTTCTCTTCACAAATAAATGGCAAGTTCCTGAGTCATACTAACGTATAAATTGGTTATTAACTTCATTTTAATTTCTCAATGCAATATGGTCGAAGGAGTCACGCTAAGCTTTATAATAGTGGTCTTTGAAGGCTATAAAATTAGCCTAGATAAAAATAAATTAAAATTTGAGCATGAACTATGGTAGAATTTATTTCAGTCTGGACTTATTTTTTTACCGACTTGAATGTGCAGCCAACCCATTGTGTTCTCTTATAACTGAATAGAATTTGAGGTTAGATAAAAAAGTTAGGTCAGTTGCATATATTGTTATCTCTTACACAGCACAGGTGCATACCTTTTTTAATGCTTATTTTTCTCAGATTTTACTTTTCTTTCTTTGGTTAATTTAGTGACTTATTTCCTCTTTCTTTGGTTAATTTAATGACTTCTTTCCTCTTTCTTTGTAGTCTGATAAAATAAATCTGGACATCCAAAGGGTTGTTGGGTATCGCCAATGGTGTAATAAACTTTGGAATGCTGTGCGATTTGCCATGAGCAAACTTGGAGATAATTACACCCCTCCAACAAATGTGGTTCCAGATATCATGCCATTTAACTGCCAGTGGATTCTCTCCGTGTTGAACAAGGCCATATCAAAAACTGTGACATCACTGGACTCGTATGAATTTTCTGACGCTGCTACTGTAGTATATTCATGGTGGCAGTTCCAGTTGTGTGATGTGTTTATTGAAGCCGTCAAGCCCTACTTTGCCAGTGATGCTCAAGCATTTGCTTCTGAAAGGAGTTATGCACAAGACACCTTGTCGGTGTGTCTGGAATAACTAATTGGATGATGGGTTCTATTACTGTTTGTTTTGGTTGTTTATCATTTATAACGGTAATAAGCTGTCTTAATACTGGAAAGTAACATCAATTAATGCTGCTCCTCAACCTTTGTTCTACTGTTTGCAGTGCTGGACAAATGAGAAAGTAGAGTATGAGATGGATATGATTGAGTCAGCCGTGAAATCACTCAGGTCACTCAGGGCGTTGATGCCTGCAAAAGAAAGGCATGAAAGGTAAATGTTTAAATGATATGTTTTTTTGTTTTTCATTTTATTGTAATAGAATTTTTATTTTTGGGTTATTTATTTATTTATTTTTCATTCATGAAAAGCATCTAAGCTTTAGTTGTTTATTCTTTTTTTATTCCTCATATTTTAGGCCAGGGAAATATTCTAATGTTTATTTTATGAAATACCTATTTGCTATGTATACAGTTCCATTTCTGATTATACTACTTCTGTGTAAGCCAAAATTCCTTTCCTTGGATTGTAATGACAATATTTAAATAGTGAATAAGAAAATAAATCGTTACGTAGGAGTGAGATTTTTTGAATTGTTACCAACAAATACTTTGGAAATAATATGTAGTTGCCTTTTCATAAAGAAAATTCTATGAGGAAACATGAAGACAGGTTAATACTTGGTAATGGGACATGTCCTATATAGAATTTTGGTCATGGAACATTCTGTGAGGAGACATTGATGAGAATGTTCATTATTATTGTTTATATTTATAGTGCTGGTTAGAATTTGATTTCAATTTTTCCGAATTTGAGTGGTCATATGTTGTAGTAGTGACTGACCTTCCAGCATGATTGAAATGTGTTAAACAAAGATGTTGGTGGCCCATCTGAGAAGTTCTGGGGTTTACTTACTCTCCTTACTTGGTGGCCCATCTCAAAAATTAGATTCCATTAAACTTTGAGTCAGAGAGCTAGTCTTAGCTTTTTGCTAAAAGAAAATTTCTCTAAAGAGATTTTCCTCTTTAATGTATTTTCAAAATTCCTCCCCTGGGAGTATTATACAGATCCTTATTCACTTCTTTTCTTGAAAAAGCACTCTCCGGTTGGCGTGATGAGTTACGTAAAGACATTGAGCAGCTGTGTATGTAGCAAGCTGGTCCTGGTTACCTTGCTGTGGCTACTCGAATGCATTTTCAGAGGTATATTATTTATCTCAAGTCCATCAGATGAAGTTGTTATCATTAATATTTTTTTTGGTAGGTATGCGTTGGCATTATCTTTTCAAATTGGAAATAAGAATGCATTGTGAATTTATCCCCCCCATTAGGATAGCTAGCTTGGAGCAGGAGATTGAGAGCTTGAAAAAGAAGTTAACTGCTTGCACTAGAGAGAAGTTAAATCTCCAAGAGGAGCTTTCTCAAGTCCTTCCTGTAACATTGATGGGAAGGGCTGGGGATGGTTTGAAATAAAACAAACTTCACATGACACAACTCCTGTTTCTAGCACTAGGACAAAATTTTACATTCCTTAATGAGCTAAGATTAGCTCTAATATCACCCATTTCTATCTTCTTGACTCCTTTCCCTTCCAAACATGATACATAGTACCAGCAAGGGTCAACCTGTAAACATAATCTGTAATAGCCTTACCTCCACACTCTTCAGCAAAAGTCAGGCATTCTTCTACCACGAAGAATTCTCCTCAAAAGAACAGTTCAAGTATATGCTGAAAAATATTAACAAAAGAATAAATGATCGTGATCAAACCCATTGCACAATACACACTTGTTTTCAGAAACAATCCCCCACTTAAACATTCTATCCATTGTAGCCAATCCTCACTGAACAGCAACCCATTACACAAAGCTTCACTTACGAACATTTTGAGGCAACCATGCCAATTTATGTCACGAGACGATAGGGTATAGTGTTTGAAAAATATAGAAATCCCCTAGATGTTGATTTGTGATTATGTATCAATTTTAAGCAGAATATAACAATCCCAATCAAACAATCAAGACAAAGAGACACAGTGATTTAACGTGGAAAAAACCACAATTGGACACCTCCAACTGTGATAAAAAAAACACGGGCAACAGCCACAAGACAATCCACTAAGAAGAATTAAAGGAATTACACAGGTATACTCTCAATTACCTAGCGAATCCACAACGCCTAATTGAACCAACCTCTACG